TTGTATTAATAACACGCAATATACATGCATGACGATGCTGATGACGACGATGAAGAGGATGATGATGATGATGATGATGATGATGATGATGATGATGATGATGATGATGATGGTGTTGGTGGTGATGATAATGATAATGAGACTGATGGTGATGGTGATGATGATGAGGAGGGTGATGATGATGATGAAGAGGAGGGTGATGATGATGATGAAGAGGAGGGTGATGATGATGATGATGATGACGGTAGTGATGATGCTATGATGTTCAGTTGGAAAGCTACTTTGACGAAAAACTAATTTTCTTTTTTAAATGTTGAAAAAACAATCAAAATGTTAAACAAAGAATCATAATTTTATATTTTATTTAGAAAAATTAAAAATCTATTTATTTCCGGTTTTTTTTGTTTAATTTTATTATTTTCTCTTAAAAATTTTAGTTCATACAATTTTTCCGTCCGAAGTCTTAACATGCTAATTAAAAGTTCTGTTTTACACACACACATACATACATACAGATATATATATATTTATATATATATATACACACACATACATATACATACAAACACATACATATACGCATAAAATACCAAAATACATACAGCCCTACAAATTTTATCCATTTAGGAAGGCACGTACATACATACGAACACACGCACAATATTGCTCACATTTAATAACTTTGCAAATACACAAACATACATACATAGACACTCACACATACAGACAGACAGAGAGAGAGAGAGAGAGAACCGTGCATCTATTCATTGAGGCGTTAAGTTAACGATGTTATTATTTCAATAAGTTGTCTCTTAAAAGAACCTACAAATCGTCCTGAATATTTTTCGGTGACAAAAACATACTTTAGGCGTTTAAGCTGCTTTTGTATCTCGGTGTGTATCATTGTATATCTCTGTATATCATTGTATATCTCTGTGTATCTTTGTATATGTTTGTATATCTATGTTCAATTTGTTGTATCTTTGCCGTATATGTAGTTGTTGAATTGTGTGGTGATGTTTGTATTTAAGCATTCAAAATCCATAACAAACAAATTCAGAGAAAGCGTTTCTTAAGTACTCCATGTATGTATGTAAGTGTGTGTGTGTGTTTGTGTGTGTGTGTTTTGTATGTATATGTGTGCATTTGTGTATATTTTGTAGGTAGTTTTTCATGTGTGTTTGTGTACGTATGCCTCCAACACATCAGTGAGACAAGTTCATTTTTAGTTAGAATGTGTTACGAAAGCGTTTCTGCGATGTTTGGGGAAAAATTTCGAGAGTTTTTTGTTTTTTTTTTGTCAGTTTTTTCTATTTTTTTGGTAGTTTATAAGTTTTTTGGTCAATTTTTTGCTCATTTTTACCGAACTATTCTTTAACATCACTCCATGCAAGATGGTAAATAGGTTTTTTGCATGCTGGTTGATATTTATATCAAATACAAGTGTGTATAAATAGAAAGCAGAAAAATAGAAAGAGAAATGGGAGGAAAGACAGAGAGAGAAAGAGAGATAAACAAAATGAGAGAGAGAGAGAGAAAAGAGGGAGAGAGAAAATTTATCCCCATGTGCATCAGCTCTCTTGAATTTAAGAAGAACAAACGTGACTTATTATTGCACGGCATCTTCGACATCGGTTAGATAGGTGGGTGATGACTCTATACCTTGTTACGCCGCTTGCTCGTTGGACAAAGGTGTCTTAACTCATTCTTTTTATCTTTTTCTCTCTCTCTCTCTCTCTCTCTCTTTCTCTATCTCTCTCTGTTTTTTTTCTCTTTCTCTCTCTTTTTTTCTCTCCCTCTCTTTTTAATTTGGTTTCATCACATTCATTCATTTCAGTATGCCATAAATTTCGTAAAATTTTTTTTCGTTGAGTCAGCCACTGCCAACGCAAATATAAAAATAAATAAATGAATGAATGAATGAATGAACAAACGAATGAATGAATGAAATAGAAAAATAAGTGAATGAATGAATAAATAAAGGAATAAATACATTACAGACAGATTTCTTCTTGCCGCTGTTTTGTAATTTTTAGGAAATAAATTTGAAAAAGTTGAATGGTGATTGAGAGGCAAAGAATGAATGGATGGATGAATGAATGAATGAATGAACGAACGAACGAACAAACGAACAAATGAATGATTGATTGAATGAACGAATGAATGAATGATTCATTCGTGACAATAATATCAATAGTTAAACGACAAACCAATATTAAATAACATAACATGATGAACAAAAAAATAATAAAAATAACAATAATAATAATAATCTACTCAAATAATGGTAATAATAATTAAATCCAATAAATAATTAGAAATGCCACAAAGTGAACAAACTTCGGAACATGAGAGAAAACACTACAGACCAAATTTTCTGAAGTCTTCTGGAATACATTTCATTTCTTGTGTGATTTTTCGAAGTTTTCTTTCCCATATTCAATGATTTATCTATACTTTGTTTCATGTTTCATTATATGGCAAAATAATTTAATATAATAGATTTGACGGCTTGTTTTTTCGTTCGTTCATTCGTTCATTCACTCGTTCGTAGGTTTGTGTTTGTAGGTGTGTTTGCCGGCTGGTATATTTTGTTGGTTCGTTCGTTCGTTTGTTTGTTTGCTGGTTCGTTCGTCCCTTCGTTTGCTTAGTTAGTTACATGGGTTTGTCTCACAATTATATCTAACAGAGAAAAATTTCAAAATTAATCGAAATAATATTGTATGATTTATATTTCAAAACTTAAGGATATTAAACAGTAATCGTCTTCCTTATCAGTTATCACTATAAATATAATGATAATGAAAAATACATACAAACATAAACCTCAATTAAGTATTCAAGAGCTGTAAAGAAACATTAAAACAAACTTCTCATCCTCAAAGTTCTCCCTCTAGCACACCACGGCTATTTTATACATGCATATGTACGCACATACATACAAACACATGTATATATGTATATATATATACATACATACATCCATGCGTACATACATACATACAAACATGCATACATACACACATACATACGTACACATACGTACATATACACATACCATAGGTATTATATAACCAATCACACACATACATGAATTTGTTGGTTTGCTGGCTGGTTGGTTGGTTTGTTCGTTCTTTTGTTTGTTTGTTCGTTTGCTTATCAAATATTGCTCGATCGAATTAGAATTTTTCATCGGCAGTACTATAAGACATCAGCAGTGAACAAAATGATGGCAGGATTGTTCATAAGTTTTGTGTCTTAAAATTGTTAGCGTAACATGTATCAATACATTCATTTCTGTTCTTCAAAGTCATTCAAATGCATTCAAATCCTTTACGTACGTGTATAATATACCCGAAACTACCTTAAAAATTTTGGTATATAATAATAATAAATTATTTAATGGCGCACTAAAACAGTTCATTTGAATAATTTTCAATTATTTAGGTTTGGAAAAAGAAGGAAAAACACGTGTGCGTGCATTTGCACGTGTGTGTGTGTGTGTGTGTGTATGTGTGTGTGTATGTGTATGTGTGTGTGTGATGGTGGTGATTGCCGCATTTTCTTTATGTGGTAGCGTGTGGCTAGGGTGGAACTAATGCATTCACACCGTTCAATCCACTATTTAATTGATTCATTAACTCTTCTGCTCTCTTTCTCTCTCTTTCTCTCTCTCTCTTTCTTTTTTTTCTTTTTTTCATCTCTTTCTTTCATTCTTTCCTTCTTTTTTTTCTGTTTTTTTTTCTCTCTGTCTCTCTCTCTACTTTCTGTCTCTAACACACACACATGACGTGTACATGAATTCGTATAAAGGAAAGAGAAAAAGAGACAGAGAAAGAGAGAGAAGGAGAGAGAGAGGCAAAAGAGAGGAAGAGAGAGAGAGAGAGAGAGAGAGTGACGTACGTAAATATCTACACATTCAGGTGACTCAGTATTCATTCATTCAATTTAAATAAAAATTCATGTTTAATTACCAAACCGAACGATATATTAATTAATAAATACGGGAAGCCCATTTATATGCAACCAGTCAGGCCACATTTTGTATTCATCTCTATTATAGTACACTTGGTATTCATCTTTCTTATAGTGCACACACACACACACACACACACACACACACACACACACATACACACACACACATACACACACATACATACACGCATGCACACACATACATACATACATGCACACACACACTTATTTTGAAGGTTGCATTCAATAACATCTTCTGTAGATATAATCATTTAGTAATGCTACAATGGTGATGATGATGATGTTGACTAAGATGATGATGATGAATTATGGTGATGAAGACTAAATTATGTGCATATATCATTATATGCATACATTTTGAAAGTGTGCAGAAGAATTAACTGACAAAAATTCTGTAACAAGTTTTTTTTTTAAAAATGGTGATTTAATGGTTTAAATTAAATAATATTTGCAATATATTTTGAAAATAAAAAATCAGCCATTTTGACAATCTGTGGCATAGACGCGCCCACGACCTTGACCGCTCGTTAAATTAGCGTGTTATTGGAAGTCGCCATTCTCTTTCACTCAATCTCCAGTGAGCTACTTGTCTGTCCGCATCGAATTTCATCTCAAAAGTTGGTTTTTTTTTCAATTTTTACACCATTTTTGTCATAAATTGGTGTATTTTATTATTTTATAAACGATTGTTTACTATGATTTAGTTTTTGGCCAGTTTTTATGTGAAAATTTTGAGTTTTTTCTTGATCGCGTTGAAACGTTTTTATTGTGAAGGTCAAAATCTTTGTCTAAATTAAATTTTATAGTGTTTTAAGTTTTTCTGGGCGTATTTTGTACAATATTTTTGTTGAAATACTTGAAATTCCTTAAAACCGGACATTTTTGGTTACAACCGGATTCTAGACTTCAGTTCAGTAGAGTCATTGTTATTCTATCATGTTGTCCTGCCAGTTCAGCAGTTGGATGTTTGTTCTTTTTATTGTCGCTCACTTGACTTTCAAGATTACTTTTCTTAAATATATTGTATTGAAAATATAGTTTGACCTTGTGATCATATGTCATTGACTTCTGAAATTAATAAACAAAAGTGTGATCAGTTGTTTTTATTTTATTTTAGCTTTGGATTTTTTTTAAATTTTGAGTAAAAAACATTTTAATTAATTTTTTCTCAGATGTCAGAAGAATCAAAGCCCAGTCCCCTCCTCTCTTTCTATGAGAACTTTCTCCTCAGTGGGGCTGCTGCCATCATCTCAAAGACTGCAGCTGCCCCCATCGAAAGAGTGAAGCTGTTGGTTCAGAACCAGGGTGAGATGATCAAGATGGGTAGATTGGACAGGCCTTACAATGGTGTCATTGACTGCACTGTTAGAACATTTAAAACTGAAGGTCAGACATTCATTATTGCTGATGGATTATCATATGATTGGCCATAAGATTGTGATAGAGTTACATGTAATATAAATTTTATATATAGATTTTTTTCATGTTCTTGAAACTCTATGAAGTAAAAAGTTCATTAATTGAAAAGTTACTTATCCTAAAATGACAAATGAAAGGTTGATGAAAATTTGTTATTCATTATAATAGGAATCCTTCCATTCTGGAGAGGTAACTTAGCCAACTGCATCAGATACTTTCCAACTCAGGCATTGAACTTTGCTTTCAAGGACAAGATCAAGGCCCTCTTTGTAATGAACAAGAAGGACCCATACATGGTGAACTTCAGCAAGAATGTTGCATCAGGAGGTGTTGCTGGTGCCATGTCACTTGTCTTTGTCTACTCCCTTGACTACTGCAGAACCAGGCTTGCCAACGATGCTAAGGCAAGCAAGAAAGGTCTGAATTTGTTCTTTGATTTATTTCATTCGTCTGCTGTCTCTTTCTGACCCAATATTATTTTCATGATTTTACATGTCTTATACTTTCCCAGGCGGTGGTGATCGTCAGTTCAATGGCATGGTTGATGTCTACCGTAAGACCATTGCTTCAGACGGTGTTGTTGGTGAGTCCCTTCCCTGTTCTTTGTTTTTTTTTTGTTATTATTTAAGATTATGATGTAATAAGAATCTTTTGTAGTTATTGTTATGATTGTAATTGAAAATTAAAATTGCCTACCTCATCTTAATGAGTAAACAATCCTTTTTAATAGATGAACGAATAATAAATAATACACCAAGACACCTTCAACCACCACCAGGTCTGTACAGAGGCTTTGTGATATCCTGTGTTGGTATCATCGTGTATCGTGGTTGTTACTTTGGTTTCTATGATACTCTCAAACCCATTGTACTTGGAGATAATGCTGGACTCATGATATCATTCGCTCTTGGATACAGTAAGTGAAAGTCAATTTTTTTTTTCATCCTCAGTTCACCCAGTCTTTTAATTTTAATTAAATAGATGTTTGAATTAAATATGAGTAATTAGAATAAACACTGTAAACATAGACATAGTAATACTTAAATAAATATGATTTTCTCTCCCTCTCTGCCCATTCAAGTTGTGACAATCACCTCTGGTTTGATATCCTACCCCATTGACACCATAAGACGACGCATGATGATGACCAGCGGTGAGGCAGTCAAGTACAAGGGCTCAATTGACTGTGCTGTCAAGGTCGTCAAGTCAGAAGGGTTCATGTCACTCATGAAAGGAGCCGGTATGCTTGCTCTTTGTTTGCTTTCTTGTTTTGTTTAGTTCTTGTTCTCTTGATGTTTGTAGATTTTTCTTTAGATATTTCTTGTAGTTCTGTTAGTTAATGTTTTCTAATTCTTTCCCTAATAAAACACCATTCCCTAATCACACAAACAGGTGCAAACATCTTGAGAGGAGTGGCTGGTGCTGGTGTCTTGGCCGGATTCGATAAATTCAAAGCCCTGTACGTCAAATGGAGGGTCGGCTAAGTATCTGACATGGCTACCAAAGATATTAAATAAGATGAAGAAGTTAACAAATAACATTTGTTATGATTATTATTAGTTGATGATGATGACGTGAAGATGATGCTGATCGTTAACGATACTATGAATTAGATGAATGTGATGTTATTTTCGTTTGACTCAATGATAAATAAATATAGGGAAGTTAATGTTATCAATGTCGTTGTTCTTGTGTATGTTTAAAAATTATTTATTAGATGATTTTTCGGACTAAGATGATTTCTAATCCTAAACTAGGGAGCAAACATTTTTTTTATTAGAAGTAAGATTAGATTTGAAGGTAAAATGTTTATTAATATTAAAGTTGGAGCGTTTATTTTCTTTTCTCTCGTAGGTATTTTCATTTCCGTATCTAAATTTTGTCCTGACTTTAAAAATATTTATACCTTGATAATATTCAGCTTTTCTGCATTGTTATACACATTCATTCGTCTAGTGTTGTGTGGTTAGTTAGTGAAGTGAGTAGGAACTTAATAAATCTTATTCCAATTCAATTATGGGGTAATTTCTGTTGTATATTCTGAAGTAGCTCTTGAGAAGTTTGTACGCTATCGGTTTCTGTCTGCTTTTTGTGTAACTGGTTAGATATTTTTTAGTTTTATTTACGAATTCGTCGTCGAATAGCCGTCAAAAGTCGTTTTTGAATTTTTAAAACGTTTGTTACTCTTGACAGCGGGCATGTTGACATTTTTGCACTAAAATAGTTATAAACGTGTATCGATATCGAGTACAGGTAAGTGAGCTCTGCAAAAATGAATTTTGTTATTTATAAAAGTTGATTTAGCTTTCCATACTTGAGGCGATTTAAAGACAACCAGCGTAACAGCAATATTAAAAAGTTAAAAGTAGATCTCAACTTAAATAATTAACCGATCGCTTTGGTGATTTTTTAAATCAAAATTGCTTTTCATTTTCACGCCGCTTTTTTCAAAATTACAAATTAGGGATTAGTGCAAAGATCTATAAATTCTTGCTTTTGGATTTTATTAGGTAATTCAGTAAATCTACAAATATGTACATGGACTTATCACTTATCTTATTTTGTTTGATTTTTTTTTTAATTTTAAAAAGTTTAAATTAAAATCGTTAATTTAATAGCTAAAAATTGAATTTAATTAATTTTCGGGATAATAGAAAATAAAGTAGAGTAATCCAACCAGAATGTGTGCAAACAAACAAGAGGAGATTTCCGAGTTTTATGATGAGAACGAAGAATGGGCCAAGGTGTGTAAGTGTGTGTGTGTCTGTGTGTGTGTGTGTGAATAGTGTGGGGTGTGTGTATGTGTCAATCAACTGATCAGTTGAATTAATTATTAATCAATCAATGAGTCAACCAGTCAATAAATCATCCAGTTAATCTTCTCCTTAGTTTAATCTAATGCTAATCATTGATTTATGATCTATATGTGTACATATGTGTGTGTGTGTGCGTGTGTGTGTGTGTGTGTGTATGTGTTGTAATGGGCATGTGTGTTTTTTTTTCTAAAACCTTTTTCAGTCAACTTTTAAGCTTTCAATTTAAATCAAGTTTATAAATATGTAGCTTTATTAATTGTATTACCATATTATATTTTTTCTCAAAAAATACTTTTATTTACTACTGCTACCACTATTATTATTATTACTACAACAGCTTCTGCTATTACTACTACTGCTACTACTACTCCTATTACTACTACTACTACTACTACTACTACTACTACTACTTACTACTACTACTACTACTACTACTACTACTATAAAATGAAAGATTAAAGAGTTTTATAATGTTTTAAAGTTTAATAGAAGTTACTTGGTTTTTCTTCTTCATATACTAAATTTACATTTTTAATAACTTCTTTTTAATGGTAGCAATTAAATGCCCCTACAAATTCATACATACATACATACACACATACACATATTTACACACACACTTGCACATACACACACACACACACACACACACACACACAGACATACATGCATACATACATCAATTTTATTTAAATAGTTAATGTAAAACACAACACATATGAACACATATAAACAAGTTTCCTTTGAAATTTTTTAGGGAGGACAACGATGTTGATGACGACGATGATAATGATGATGATGGCGACATATACTTACTTGCATGTTTGTTTGCAATATGATAGTTACATAAGGAAAACATCATTTTGTTTTGGTAGCTTCTTTTGTGAGAATATGTATGTACGTAAGTGTGTATGTATTTGTGTGTGTATGTTTGTATGTATGTACGTACGTATGTATGTATGTATATATGTATATATGTATGATTGTATGTGTGTTTAAATGGAATGTGTTTTTGTATGTATTTTTCTATGCGTTTATGTTTGTTTGTTTGTTCGTTTGTTCGTTCGTTTATATGTATGCGTTCGTTTGTTTGTTTGTATGTATATAGTATGTATGCCAGTGATAGTAATCATATGAAGTAATGGTAGTTGATTTGAGAGAATGACAACAACAAAACTGCTACTAATTAAATGTATTCAAATTGTCAACATGTTCTTTTTACCAGCTCTAACTTCTTTCGTTCATTTGTTTATTATTCATTCATTCATCCTCCAATGCATGCATGCATTCATCTGTTCATTCATTTTTTCATTCATTTATTTGTTCGTTCATTCATTTCAGTGAATTCAGAGAGCCAGTCAATCAATCGTTTTGTGTCCATTTATTCATTCTTTCTTGCCGTGTATTTTTTCTTTCTACATTCATTCATTCATTCATTCATTCATTCATTCATTCATTCATTCATTCATTCACTTGTTCACTTCATTTCCCAGCAAGTTTCAAATTTATTTTTACCTTTGAAAGTATTTCTAATAGAATATATCATAATGACATTTGTAGGAGCAGGTTTGGGTTTCTTTGTATATATGTGTGCGTGTGTCTGTGTGTACGTGTGTGTGTACGTGTGTGTGTGTTATTTATTATTATTTATTAATTTATTTATTTATGATTATTGTTATTGCTATTGTTTTTATTGTTAATGTTATCTAGGTTATGGGAATTTTATTTATTTAGCGAATTAGATTGCCTCTATCTGGTTCATTCACAATATTATTGTTAGTTTTTTTTATTTTTATTATTGTTTTTGTTGTTTTACTATTATTATTATTATTATTATTATTATTATTATGAAAGTGTTTGTTTTAATGATAATAATGACATTGGATTGACTGCTGATATGAATTTGGTGGGTGTGGAGAGAATGAATGAATGAATGAATGAATGAATGAATGAATGAATGAATGAATGAATGAATGAATGAATGAATGAATGAATGAATGAATGAATGAATGAATGAACTAATGAATGAACTAATGAATGAACTAATGAATGAACTAATGAATGAACTAATGAATGAACTAATGGATGAACTAATGAATGAGTTAATTAATTTATAGATAGATGTAATGAAGGAATGTATGAATGAAGGAATCAATAAACAAATAAATGAATGAATGAATGAAAAATTGGATAAATAAATGAATGCATGCATACGTGAATGTGTGAAAGCACGAATTTATGAATGGATGGAAATAGGGTACTGATGAATGAGAAGACCTCCAAATGTTTGACATAGTTATTAGTTTACGTCAATTATCAAAAAGAAATTTTGTGTGCATGTATTTAAGTGTACGTCTATGTATGTATGTATGAATGTTTGAATGTATGTTTGTATGTGTGTGTGTGTGTTTGTGTGTGTGTGTGTGTGTGTGTGTGTGAGTCTGTTTATTCTTAATTTGTTGTGTGTTCACACTAATACATGTCTGCTGTGGTTTATCTGTTTGGCAGATGATCTAATGCATGCATGTTTGTTTGTGTGTGTGTGTGTGTGTGTGTGTGTGTGTGTGTGTGTGTGTGTGTGTGTATATATGTATGTATGTGTGTGGTGGTGTTTGTCTGTGTGCGTTCCTGTGTTTGATTTATATTAAACCGATCAACCTCTTGATTATTTTATTTTCATTGACAAATATTTCGATGATGATGACGATGACAATGAAGATGATGATAATGACGATGAACATGATGATGATGATGACGATGAAAATGATGATAATGATGATGATTACTGCATCTTCGTCGTCGTCATCATCATGGTCTGTTTCAAATTAAATGGCTTCTATAAATTCACTAGAGCTCTTAGCATCATCGTCGTCACCTTCATCATTATCATCATCATCAGCCTTATTTTTATTGTTATTATTATTGTTATTATTATCATTATTATTATTATAGATTGAGGAAGTTATGGCTTCTCTGGACACAAGTTTGACTCTAAACGGACACAACAACAATAATAATAATAATAACAATAATAACAACAATAATAACATCAATAATAAATATATTAACAATAATAACGTTATATATAATTCTATGAAGTTTCAGCCAAATAAGCGTAACCAAAGCAACACTTCTGCTACTACTACTACTACTACTGCTACTACTACTACTACTAATAATAATAATAATAATTGTAACGGTTGTTATGATAATGATGACGGTGGAGATGGTGGTAACGATTATGATGATGGTGATGATGATGATGGCAGTTCAAGTTTATCTCAATGGTTATGCGCTCTTGGGTTACAAAGATATGAAAATTTACTTGCTTCCAATGGATTCGATATGCTGAAGTTTCTGGTTGGTTACGATGATGATTGTGATGATGATGATGGTGGTGGTGGTTATAATAATGATTATGGCGGTGATGATGATGATGAGGTTTATGATAATGATTATGGTGATGATTGTGATTTTATTA